TTGACCGTAAAACAATGAATGAATTGATATAAACGTGCATAGTCAAGTGTATCGAATTCAAGAACCGTAAATAGTTGTCTAATGTCGAAAAACGGCCGAAATTCAAAGGTCCCGTCAGCCTCTTTACAGCGCTGTACACAAATCGATCACTTCGCCACCACTTACCCCTGGAGCGGGTCTATTCAAAACTGCCGCTCTCATTGATCGGTCCCTGTGGACCCAGTCGCCAACCTCATTCTCACTGGGGACGTAGTAGAGGAAGTAGGCAAATTTTGCTATTTAGGCAGCGGTGGGGTCACAGATGGGCATTTACCATCTGTGGCGCCGTCGCGACATCTGACTGTCTGTGAAGGGTCGAGTGTATTCTACAGCGGTTCGGGCAGTGCTGCTATATGGTGCAGAGACTCTTCCATTTTGGGAACAAGGTAAAAATAGATTGTCAGTGTTCGAACACCACTGCCTACGCCGTATTACGATCATATATTTCACACACGTCTGACGCCAGACTGTGTGCCCAACAAATTATAGTACAGTAATCTTTATGAGAAAGAAAGACGTTCGATGATTTGCGTGTGGGCGGAATACTGACAGGTTGCCCAGACCCAGGCAGGTGAATTTTCTTGAGGAACCCACAACCGGAGCTTTCGGCTAACCAAAGCCTGACCCGCAAGGAGCGGGGCGGTGTGTGAAAACCGCAATCCATTGGGAGCCGGCATCCAATTCATCGGATCATGCGCCCTTTGGGCGGGGTCCAAGGTGCCAAATACTCCTCGATGCCCAATCGAGCCGGTGATCTCTACAACGACTTCGAAGGTGTGTGTGGTTCCTACACCTCGTTTTAGTTGGTTTGGAAGCGGTTTTTGGCCAACTCCTCTAGATTAACTACCAGTGGTCCACCGACGCGGTTATCGGCCTTTCGTCCTCTCACTTTGGTAGAAAACTCCGGCTCCAGAACGTAGTAAGTAGGGCTCCCTCAACAGGGTCTATTTGAGACGTTTGATTGTATGGGAGCACTTCGCAAGGTGCAAAGGAAGGGTGACCAGCCGCAACCCTAGACACTCGCCCCCAACCATACTGAGGCTTTCGGAGGTTTACTCCGATTGTTTGAGTGTTGTGGTGAAACCGAATAAGTAAATCTGAGGACAGGCTTACAGTTTTATATAGTCGCAGTTGTCCACAAATGTTCGACCTCTCTTCAAATTGAAAACTTTTTTGAGGTTGGTACACAAAGGAATGGGTGAACATGGGTGAACTATAGTCAGCAAGCGATTGAACTATGCCGTCAAGCCGGCCTATTACGCAGTTGACCCAGTCATTGTTTTCATTACCACTCGGATTGCAACCACATCGGCGTGAAAAACGTAGCCCCCTCCGCCAAATCAAGCGTGGGTGCTCGGTCATCTACATCGGCAGGTTAGATATGGCCGAAAATATCCGAGTGTAACTTGAGATGGGCTACAAGTTTCCAACCGGTACGTCATCGAATGATCAACAAAGACCTAGATCTTCGATAACACAACGCATATTCGAACAAAAACATTATATCACGCCAACTCACGCATTTCAGATCATCTACGGCACAACCAACACAAGGTCGCTGGAATTTGCCTAGACTCTAGCCATTCATTCTGTCAAACGCGATCTATGTAAAATATAAATTGTCTACGCCCACATCATCAAGGCTATCATTGCTAATTGGTGGAATAAAGTGTTTTCAAAGCTGTGGCTACTGTGTTACTATCAAACTGGTAGTGAGATGGGATGTATTGTATTTCTTCTCAACATAACCCCCCCCCCCTCCATAATTTGTCCCATTCTTCTTCCGTAGACGTGGATTCACGTGGTCTGACGTGCATTTTCTCCGTTCCGCTTGGTTAGAAAAGCGTGAACCACTACAAAGTCTCATCGATCGCCTAACGCTCGATTCTTTGATCAAGGCAACTGTACAAGGACCCGGATTCTCTTCTTTTCGCAGTTGTATTCATTCCGCGTTCGGCTTGGGCACGACCACTGTAAACGATTTGCAATCCGCGGATCATCACAATACTGACGAGAACCTGATCGTAAATTACCTATCAGACGAACCGGATTTGTTCAATGCCGGGCTGGACTTCGTTACCGTGGTAAGTCCTGATGAAAATCTTTACAAAAACTTCGGCTAGAAACAGACAGATAGATAGATGAATAAAAAGTATCTCGTCTCTCTAACTGTCATTCGGTACTACCGTTTGTAACATAGGCTTGAGTTTTATGGGGGAGGACAGTAACAAACTATCGTTGTTTGAGCGCCACTGTCTACTTCGTTTAGGTACAGATCGCGGTTATGCGCTGGAACATATATTATGTTAGTTGAAGCCTGCATTTCACATGTCACCAAATTAATTGTCACGGCGTGCTATGTTCGCCGAGATAGGTCATGAGCGAAAAAAATTAAGGGTGCTCCAATGGAGTGAATTGGGGTATGCAAACCTAACCAGGAGATTGGGTTATATATATATACATAGAGAGAGAGAGAGACTTAAGCTTCTCGGACAGGAGCTTAGCTAACAACGTGACTGACGGTTGAATGGTAGACAGCAGCGCTCGGGAATCCACTGATTTTTTTCACAACCTCGATGCACCGCAATTCTCTATCTTCACCTCAATTCTGCTTTCACCATTTCAATGTTACCCTTTCTACTTGGTCCAAATGGGTAAACAAAAGACAGTAAAGAAAACGTATCACAAAATGCATGATTAATGGTTGGATAAACTGTCAACAAAAAGACAGCATAGGCTTTTTAGGTGAGTTAGACAACATCATCATCATCGTACAGCCAAATACAGTGAAGCGAACTTCGCTGATCGCTGCCAATCTCGCAATGCATACAAGGTGAATGGTAAAATTTAAGGACAGGGATTGGACCTATTTTAAGGGAGGGGGAAGGAGGTGAATCACTATGGTCAACATACGGAGTACGCAATCGAACTCTGCATACATACCGTTTCAAGCATTCTGACCTGATGAGAAACGACAACAAGAACGCCACGGCTGCCGGTTCGCTGCCATATCCTTCAGTGTCTCCAACCAACCGGTTGAGTCTTTCGGACCCCAACCTGGAAGGTGTGAGACACCTACTCTACCTAATAACTCTGTGCATTTCTTCATGCCTCGTCTCCACGTCATCTGTTGACCTCCATGTGGTTTCCTCCAGCCCGGATTAGCAACAGCGAATAAAGCGCGGTGCGACAGACGATGGCTGGGCATACGCAATACGTACCCTAGCCACCGAAGCCTAGTGATCTGAATTCGGTATGCTAGCAGGTTTATGCCTGACAGACTCCCGAACACACGACGGCTTACCTTAACGTTACTTACCCGTTCGCTCCATCCAACATGGGCTAAACTGCGTAAACACCGATAATCGAAAACTTCTAGTCGACGGATATCTTCTATTTGCAAATTCAGGGTCTTACAACCATCAAGCAGTACTGAACGAACACCAGCACAATATACATAACCTTTCAACTTCAGTGAAACGTCGCGTCTACGGCAAAGGTTTTTCAGTCTTGCGTATGCTGCTCGAGCCTTGGAAATGCGGGCGGTTATCTCCTTTGCTGCGCTACCGTCATTGGTCACGCAGCTACCTAAGTAGGAAAAGTAATCCACCACAATTAAATCCTGGCCATTTAGTGTCAGAGTGGGGAGGTAGACAACGATATCTTCCCAATAAGCGTTCGCTGTAGAACAAGTTGTGGTAGGTACCATATCGAAAATGCTAGTCTCACCACAACTCTATTTCTAATTCCGCAGGATGAATCCTCTCGACCTCGACTGCCCTGCTGGACGTTCGCAAAACCAACCCGTCTGATGCCAAATACGACAAAGCGCTCACATCCCTCAAACGCCAGCTCATCAAGAGCGTGCGGAATGACCGCGATCGGCGGTGGATAGGAAAGTGTAAAGAGATGGAAAAGGCTGCGACTGTCGATGATAGTCGCAATTCATTTCGTTTAATTATGGGTACGGGCCCAAGGAAAGTAGGCATAAATGAGGTATTTAATTAATATGGCAGTACAGTGATTCATCATCAACAACGCCCTCTTGAACGATGGACAGAAAATTCTAAGGCACAGAGTGTTCCTATGCCTGCTTCAATTGGGCAATTACTGCCGGTCGGTGCCATTCCTCCATTTGAAGTAGTGGCTTCCTGGGAAATCAGTCACCGGCCTGCGACCCGGTCGAACTGTCCCCATTGGTTTATAAAGCGATAGGTTCAGCGTTGGTCTTAGAGATTACGAAACTCGTGGTCTCGGTGTGGGAGGGAACAGGTCTTAACGGAATTGTGTAAACTATTTATCTAACCGGTTTTCAAGAAACGGGACAGTTCGTCTTGTGGAAACCACACAAGCTTCTAGCTTGTGTCATACTCCGTCGATTATCTGCCGCACGTGTTCGAACCAGGGTGGCTTTAGGTCTGATTGAGGTTGTTTAGACCATATTTTCACCCTTCTATAAGTTCTAGATCAAAGAGACTCCTTTTGTGGACCCACCATTTCTGTCTTCCTGGATCTGAAAGTGGCCTTCGACTCGGTTGAGCGCTTTAATCTTTGGCGCTGCGTCCCTCCGACGCGTATGTTCGAGAAGTGTTCAAGTCAAGTCAAGAAAAGCTTAATGCACCCAAAAGGTGAATTCTCAGCCGTTTACGAGTTTTACAGTGGATAGGTAAAATAATTGTAAACAAAAAAGTACAGTATAAGAAATTGTGCACTTTCATAAAGAGAGAAAAAATTAGGGCAAGAGTTTCTCCCTGATATGGGTGAGGATATGCTGACGATTTACTAGTAGACGAATTAGGCAAGGAATTACACTGTTTCGATATGTGGAAGTTCGCGCAGGAAGGAGTTGATATTTGGAGCGCGTCCGGGGAATTGACAGGGCTTTCGCGATATCTTGGTGCAGACAGTGCCCTTGCTCATGCGTTATCCTGTCAATGAATGTACCACAAGCGTCAAGATGCTTGGAAATAAAGAAATCAACTAAAACAGCTTTATCAACTCCACTGTAACGGGACAAAAGTTTAAGGGATCTTGAAAATAAAGAGAAGTCTTTTTCTTTCAGTCCAGGGATAAAAATCGAGGAGCAGTATAGCCAGTCTAGAAGAATACAGGCAATCACAAATTTAATAATAAGATTACGCGGTACGGCCAGTTTCCTGAGTCTGTAAGCATAGAAGGACAGTTTTCGAACTTTTGTGAAAACGTTGATGACATGAGCAGACCAAAACAGGTTATGGGTTAGGGTGACACCACGGTATTTAACAGATACATATTTGGGAATGCTTTGATTGTTAATTCTAAGATCAGGGAGATTATCAACTAATTAAAAATAACGGGGACTGGTTTTAAGACTAAATAGAACTTCGATGCACTTACTGACGTTAAGTTTAAGGGATCGGGTCACAGACCAGTCGTGAAGTTCATTAAG